CTTCCCTAATTTTTACTTTTATTTTTATGTTGGTTTAATGAATGGATATCCTTTTAAGTTTCCAATAACGACTATCGAGGTGATGTTTAGATAATTGGGATGAACTCCTGTTAGCTAATTGATCAGAGAAACAGATTTAGTCTGGAATATTATTCTTCTTGGGATGTTATATAATTTTGGCAGTTAATAAAGTTTCTAGTGTGATATGTTTCCCATAACTAACAGTTTCTTTTGTGAAATATGAACCTTTAGGTCCAACATATATGCAATCGTGCATCATTTGCCAGATTTTCTGGGCTGGGTTTTGATCAAGATTTTGTGGAGGTTCCTGCTCTGGTGCTAGAGAACTGGTAATTAATGAATTATGGATCATAGTGTTCCCTTTTATGAGGACACATGGCCTAAATCAATGCTTCTTAACTGTGTACAATTTCAGGTGTTACGAAAGCTTCACTTTGAAGTTGATATCTGGCTTCCATCAGGTGACACATGCTTTATTATTATTATTATTTAAATTTAAGTAGTAAATGCTCCCAAAATCAGTGTGCTCTTTTCTTTCTCTCTCCTCAAGTGAAACCTCTCATATTTTCATTAACATGTTTACTTTTGGTTTTATCCTTATTATGGGCAGTTATTGTTGATGTCATGTCTAATGTAAATGCTCTAAAAAAATATAGTTGTTTTTAAGAGATATAAGATGAGTTAAATTGCTAATTACTATTGAATTTACATGCAGGATATAACAAAACCTATCAAAGATGAAATGTGCAAAGCCATTAAAAGATGGCGGTGTTCCTTCTCTGCACTCAAGATGAGGCAAGAAATTCTTTATAGTAAGTCCTGTTACTATTTCTACACTTCTTTGATTCTTTGAAGAATCATCTTTAAGGCTGTCTTTGTTTCATAGGATTTGCAGACATTTTTTTCCCTGGAAAATATTTGTTGTTAGAACTTATGCTTTTTGATTTGTGTTGATTTGGATTTCTTGGAGTTGGTTTTAAAAAGAAATCACTGTAGACAACTGATTCTTAGTTATACTTTTAATTTTTAAAAGCTCTACTTCCTAAGGGCCCGTTTGATAACCATTTCAATTTTAGTTTTCATTTTTCATTTTTGTGCTAGAGTATAGAGGAAAATGAGAGTGAGAATGTGAGTCAAGATGAGATTGAGAGAGAGAGGGGAGGATGAGAAGGAGTCACAAAAGTGAAAACAAAAACTTACAAGTGAAAAAAATTCCAAATAGATTTCAGTTTTGAATTTTTGTTTTCACTTTTGTTACTCATCCCTCCCATCCTCCACTCTCATGTTCACTCTCAATCCCATCTCCACTCTCATTCTCACTTCCATTCTCCCTCTTTTTCCTCTATACTCCAGCACAAAAAATGAAAACCAAAAACTGAAATTGAAATGGTTATCAAACGGGCCCTAAGTTTCTCATAGTTATATTAATAGCCATTGTTTTGAAACTGGACTGGTGATCAATGGATAAGGCTATTGCCTAATAATTGTAGACACTATTTGTATGTTAAAATTGATGCCAAGGTATATTACGTGAGACTGCTGTTCTTTCTGGGAAACGTACAATGCTGGAATGTCGAATTATCATCTAGATGTTGGTAAAGCAGACATTTCGATTTATCATGCACAGAACTGAAAAACATCTATTTTGTCAGGTCTTTTTGATCAAATTATACATTCTGCTGAAAATGTTGACATTGTTGAGTTATTCAAGCATCTTCATCCAAGGGTATGTGGTTGTTTCCAGTAATTCATTCCCTTATGAAGTTGCATTTTGGGGTATTATTAACTCTGTTTCCTCAGATCTTGTTAGGTTTGCCAATGTTAGAGGATGTCAATCCTGCTTCACGTTTTCCATGTAGCGCCATTGGTCATGAAGCTGCTTGTTACAGTCGTATTTGGAGTGAGGTTTGTCACCCATCCCTTATTGGAAAAAGTCAAACAACACATCCCTGTTACTTAGATTCCCAAGTTTGCAATGACAATCGTTGTTATATGCAATAGTTTCTCAATGATTATGTTTGCAGGATATCATTCTAATAATCTGTGATTCTGTGACGATCAGTGCTGATGCCTTGAATGTTACATGCAGGTTTTTGCGGCTGATATATTTGCCTCAAAGTTTCATGACAGTTATTTGAACCAATATGTTGGCATGCAGTTCAGGAACAAGGTAAAGAATTTGCTCAGTAGAAGTGTTGCCATAATAGTATCCATGCATTTCGACGTGTAGTCTTAAGGTGTGTCGATTTAAGTTTTACTTCCCATGCTCTTCATAATTCATATGGGACAATGGCATACTTTTTTGTCTCCGTCAGAAATGTTTTGCAACTGTCTACTCACGTCAAATTTTGTTCATTTCTCTATTTATTTATATTAAAGTGTTCTCTTTGTAGGTTTTGGCCCCAGGAGGAGCAAAGGAACCAATTGAAGTTTTAACTAGCTTTCTTGGGAGAGAACCATCAACTCAAGCTTTTATTGAGAGCAAATCCCAATACAGATTGTGATGCAGACAGAACTTCCTATAGTTACAACCACATTCTCCGATAATAGCACTCCTCAGCGTCTTGCGATTTTGGTTGCCGGTAATGTCATCAATTTCTCATGCTTAATCAGCAGACAAGGTTTCGTGCTCAAAATGGTAACACCTCTTGTGTTTATTGGTAGTATTCGCAACTTTTATAGCAGCACCGAGTTTTTATATATATTGAGATTAGGACTAGACTTGCAGTGCAGGTTCCATAAGAACATTGCAATTTTGGTAGCTCTGGAGAAGCTAGCAAGTTTCGTTGTAATTATTCTTCTCTCTCTCTTCTTTTAATCTTCTTGTTTAAGAGACGACCCCTTCGTATTCATACATAATAAATTATTTGCATGTTTGAGGTGTTCGCGTTACATTTTTGACATAAGCTTCAGTGATTTTACTTTGCATTATAAAAAACATTAAAGATGGACCATATAGTTTTATATATAGTATTTTTGGATGGAGGAAAATGAATGGAAATGTAAAAGAAAAATAAGTTTTCTAATGTACGTTATTTCCCACTGCAATCCAAACAAAAAGGGAAAGAAAAGAAAATCCAGTACAGTTTGATAAAAACTTGCAAGCAATTTCTGACCCATCTAGAATATCTTGTGCTTTGACGTTTGACTTAGTGTTCCACGATGAGTTGAAGATTGAATATTTCCCGGCCGCTATTTTTTTCTCCCTTCACATAAGGTACCCTACCCTGGTCGCAGCCTCGTCGCGTTATGAAATCATATGGCAATAATTTTTTGGTACTTTATTATCTTACCAATATTCTTCTGCTACTTAACGTCGACATCTATTTTAACATATTAAATTCACACACTACATTGGATGCTATGAATTGAATCGAACTGAAAGCCTTTTTGGGAAGTAATTATTCTAAATGACTACACTAACGGGTCCTTTGCAACATCTTGTAGAAATTGCATATATATAAACCTCTGTTTTTGTGTTAACATAAATAAACATAGATAAAGTGGCCACCTTATAAAGGCAAAACAATAGAAGGGCTTTTTTTATATTTTTAATTTAGGATTTAGGAGAGATTCGAATATGAGCTTTCTTCCAACATTGTGGAATAGTATTGAACTAATACTTAAATTGATCATTTCGTGTTTCGCTTCTTGATTAATCAACACCGGTTATCCATGATATTTAGATTTGGGGAAATTCGAATTTGAGTGTTTTTCCGTCAAAATGAAATACTACTAAACTGATTGTTAAAGTAGAAACTGAATGTCACTAAATTAAATAATTACCACGAGCTTAGGTTTAATTCAAAATTCACATTTCGCGAAATATATCGATTACTCTGGGCCGAATGTACAAGTCATACCTCACAAGGCCCACCCAAACAAGAAACTAGTCTCTTTTCCCAACCCGAAAGGGAAAGAGTTTGAAGGAAAGACCAGATGTAGCTAAGAAACGGTGTCGGTTTGGAAATTGACGTATTAAAGCTACAGGCTGGTCCTCGTCGTGGGTGTTGGGTTCCTTCCCGTGGGTGCTGGGTGTTTCGGTTTTGACTTGACTTTTCCAAAGAGCCGAGAAGGGAGTAGAAAACCAGAGAGAGAGAGAGAGAGAGATTGACCGAAAGTTTCCGAGGCAAAAGAATAACTGAAAAAATCACGAGAAGAAAATAATAAACAACAAAAATAATTTCTGAGTCAACAAACTACAACGAGAATAAAGGATAACAAAGGCCGAGTCTTTCCTTCGTAACTCGTAAGTATTATCGAACCCTTCTCTTCATTGTTCCCATCTGGGTTTCCCTTTGCTCATCTTGATCATCTCCTCTGCTTTGTTGCATGTGCTTTTGCTTTTTTGTGAATTTAAAAATTGTTCACGAGCACTTCATTGTATTTAGTTTATCAATATAGTTTTTGAACATTGGGAAGGAGAATAATGTGGTGAATATACCTCTAATTTTCCTCTCTTTTTTTTCTTTTCCTCTTTTGATTTGAAAGAACAGAGAAGGGAGTTGGGATTCGTGGATTAAATTCAGAAAGCTGCTGCTGATTTTTTAGTTTAGAGTGACTTTAGGCATCTGGGTTTTCAATTTTTGAGCAAAAAGTTCAATTTTTTGTGGGTGAAAAGCGAGGAGATTTGTGGGGTGTTTTTCTTTTTCCTAACAAGGGCACAAAGCTGAAGGGAGGGTTATCTTTTCGGTGGTTGAGATTGGATAACTTAGAGCTTGGTCTGATCTGTGGTGTTAGATAAGTTAGTTGGAGTTTTCGGATGAGAGGGGGGTATATGGCCCCCTTTGTTGCTTTGTTTTCAGAGAAACAGGCGTAAAACGAACTTCTGTATGGTCTCAGATTATAATTATATACGCAACTGTTGCTCTTGAAATCGGGTTCTCATTAGACCCAAGAGTGTTTTTGCGAATTGTTTCGGAACCTAAGGTACTGGTGTTGTGCTTTTAGGGGCGGCATTTTGTTTGTTTGTATGAATTATGTTCAAACAGATACTAAGTAAGCTTCCCCGGAAGTCTTCTAAGAATTCTGAAAGTCGTGATGGAAGCCATACAATGTATTCGAATCCTCCCAACACTTCAAGAAGCAGTGATTTCGGGACCAGTAAGTCTGGCAATTTGGTTACATCTTTCCCAGCCGGAAATCCTGTTTCAGATGTGGGGAAAAGTTATGGCAACAAGAATGTGAGGGGTGCAAATTTGAAGCCCAATGGCTTTGTGCTCTCTTCTTCTTATGAAGCATTGCCTGGATTTAGAGATGTTCCCAATTCTGAGAAGCAGAGCTTATTCATTAAAAAGCTGAACTTGTGCTGTGTTGTATTTGACTTCACTGACCCAACAAAGCATCTGAAAGAAAAGGAGATCAAGCGACAGACACTGTTAGAGCTGGTGGATTATGTGACTTCAGCAAATGGTAAATTTACAGAAACTGTTATGCAAGAAATTGCAAAAATGGTATCTACAAATTTGTTTAGGTCGTTCACCCCGCAGCCACGTGAGAATAAACTTGTAGAAGGCTTTGATTTGGAAGAGGATGAACCTTCAATGGATCCTGCATGGCCTCACTTGCAGTTAGTGTACGAGTTTTTGTTAAGGTTTGTCGCATCACCTGAGACCGATGCAAAATTAGCTAAAAGATATGTTGATCACTCGTTCATTCTCAAGTTGCTTGATCTTTTTGACTCCGAAGATCCTAGAGAAAGGGAGTATTTGAAAACAATTCTGCACCGAGTTTATGGAAAATTTATGGTGCATCGCCCATTCATCAGGAAGGCTATTAACAACATCTTTTATCGTTTCATCTTTGAGACGGAGAAGCATAACGGGATTTCTGAACTCCTAGAAATTTTGGGCAGTATTATAAATGGGTTTGCTCTACCACTGAAAGAAGAGCATAAATTGTTCCTTGTTCGAGCTCTAATCCCCCTGCATAAGCCAAAATGCCTAGCTATGTACCATCAACAATTATCTTACTCCATTATACAATTTGTAGAGAAAGATTGCAAGCTTGCTGATACTGTCATAAGGGGTTTACTGAAGTACTGGCCGATCACTAATAGTTCAAAGGAAGTATTGTTCCTAAGTGAGTTAGAGGAAGTTTTAGAAGCAACTCAGCCATCTGAATTCCAGCGCTGCATGGTTCCCTTGTTTCGCCAGATTGCTAATTGTCTAAACAGTTCTCACTTTCAGGTAGCGGGTTCTTTCTTTATAACTTGCTTTTGTTCTGCAACATGAATGATATTCAAGTTCTGCTGTTATTTCATTACAATGGGAAGAGTTCTCTGCATCATTATTTTTCTTGTCCATGTTGACTGTGATACATACTAAGCACACTTGTGTTAATGTTCTTTTCTCTTTCCATCTTTGGTTAGTAAGTTTAAAAATCTCGTTAATCCAAATTGTTCTGTAGTTATAGCTTAGGTTCCCATTTTGTGGGCGATCCATTTATACTTGTCTTTCCATGTATGTTGTTTTTAGTTGAGGGCTTCTCTAACTTTATTTTTCTTTCTTAAATGTTACTTTACTAAATTTCCAATTAAGCCATCTGAACCTTGGGTCCTGTCTACAGCCAGAAAAAGAAAAAAGACCCTGAAATCTCTTCTATTTGGATTTTTCTGTTCTCTTTTGTTAGTCCTTTCCTTTATTGTCATTTTAATTTTAGGACTTTCGTCGGGAATTTTCAAGTTTCTTGTTTACACAATTTGGAGGAGAATGATCGAGTTCTTTCTCCGTTCTAGCGCAATTGGTTGTTGAAGATGAGGACTCATTTTTTATGCTCCACCGCGTTGGGGTAGATCAAAGATTGAAATAAGATAACATAAGATAATGACTAAAATGCGGTGCACAGCCAACTTTATGACTGATAGTTAATCATTATAGTCAATGGTTTGTTAATGCATGGGAGGTGCAAATTAAGTCTGTACAAAGTTAGGAAGAAAGAAAGAATATCATAAGAGTTTAAATCTCAGTCTTTGTAATATCTTATAGATCCCAAGGGTCAAAGTTCGTCCTGCAGTAGTTGATTAGTCTCTGTTTTTGCACAAATGGTTTTAGGATTTTAATTATGACAACGAGCGTGCCTGTTGAGAGGATCTTAAGATAATGTCTTGGAAAATTTGGGGGCTTGTTGGATTTTCCATTTTTGTAACATTGAATTTTTTTAAAACGTTTAGGGAACATTTTAAATATCTACTGGGTTCTACTTTTTTTCCTGAGTCTTTCAAGATTAGTGTCACGATGTTCTCACTTAAAAAGTAGCGTCAATGTTAATCCCATTTAGTAGCAATGTGGAATTCAAATTCCCATCAATTTTTTTAGTTCATCGTCTTGAGGAAATAGTTATGTATTAAACGAATTGTGGCTTATCAGGAAAAAAAAATGCTACAGGAATTGTGAAAATGTTCCATGAACATTAAGGTGCTCAATCTCTTTTTTCTAGACTATATTACTCCATATAACCAAATGTTCAACACAAAATAGAACTGAAGTGAACTTATGAAATGGTTATGCATATGAATTCTCTTTGCAGTGGATGACTAACTGTCAAATGTATTTTGACCAAATATTCTCAGGAGGTTTTATACCAGCCAATTGTATTGAAGTTTGACACTAGTCTGTATGAAGTTAAGCCTATTCACTTGTATTGGGAGCCCTTCAGACCGAAACATTCACTTTTTTGTTTTGTGAAATAAGTAGAGTTCTTTGCCAGTTGATTATTTATGTTTTAGTGATCATGTTTTCTCTTTAAGAAAATAGCTTCCTCCCTTTGCAGCTTTTGATTCTTGAATCTAATGCAATCAATTCTTGTTGTGCCAGGTGGCAGAGAGAGCTTTATTTTTATGGAACAACGATCACATTGAGAACTTAATCAGACAGAATCGTAAAGTTATACTGCCCATTATCTTCCCTGCATTGGAGAAAAATGCTAGAAACCATTGGAATCAGGCTGTCCATAGCTTGACCTTAATGTCCACAAAATCTTCCAAGATCTTGATCCAGAGCTGTACAAGGAATGCTTACTCCAGTTTGAGGAAGACGAGTCAAAGGAGGAAGAGGTTAAAGCACGACGCGATACCACATGGAGACGTTTGGAAGAAATTGCTGCAAAGAAAGCTGCAAGCAACGAACCTGTGCTTGTTTTCGGCAAAGCACCTCCCCGCTCTAGTTGAGTTTAGCTGAAGAAAGTTGACCATTCAATGACATCAAATTTTTTTCTCTGATCGAATGGGATTGGTAATACTACTGCCAAAATGGTTCAGGTGGTGGAATGCTCGTACTTTGTTGATTGCTCACTGCTACTGAATATTCCAACATCATATGCATGTATGTTGTAGTTGTAGCTAGGAAAAGGTTCTGGCAGATGACCACATAGTCCAACAAACATTCTGCCTCGTTTGTTTCTTGTATTGTTATTTCATAGCTGTTCTTTTGCTTAAAATGATATACAGATATGCAATTCTACCACCCCTAGACTAGTGTATGCAACAGCAGGACACAAAGTTTTGACAATGTTCTCCTTCTTTCAGCTTCAACAAGAGATGATGGACAACAGAAACTCCAATCAACCTAAGCCTAGCTTAGCTTGTTCACAGCCGGTTTGTTGTCTGTCTCTCTTCGTTGAACCTGAACATCCTTGGGGCTTAGACGCCAAACGTTCACTTTGTGGACTCTTTATGTATATTAATTTTTAAGGTTTTTAACCTTGATCAACTTGTCTAACTCACGTGTGTTAATATTTAATCTAGTTAATGAAATTTTGTTTTTTGAATTTTGTGTGTGATACGTCATTATTTAACGGATTGGGATACCTAGTACTAAATTGAAATTACCTTCGATAAAATAAATAAATAAAACCTCAAATAACGACTAGGAAGCATCCAGACAAAAATATAAAAAATAGAAAAACACAGAGACTCTGATTCTGGTTCGATGGGTTGGCAGTGAGTGGGCGACTTTGATGTTGCTCAAATGTTCTGTGGGGAAAATTCTCCCTTTAACGTTGGGTAGAAGCTTAATACTATTGAATGCGTCAATCAAAACACAAAGAACCAAACAATATCTACAAAGACATACATATGATACGGCACACATTCTCTCTCTCTCTCTCTCCCCCTCCAAGTCCAACTTGTGTTTAACAAAATAATGTCTTGAGTTGAACCTGCTTACTGGGATTGGACAGAGAGAGGGAGAGCTTTGGCTCGTTTACCTTTTTGCTTTTTTGCCAACTTTTGTTTTTTTTCTTTTACCTTCTCTCTCATAGGCTTAATATTATATGATAGGGATTATGAAATTGTGAAGGTTCTGTTCTTCAGGGCTGTTCTGGTCAGCTTGTCTCGTTCCTCCCTCCCTCTCTCTCTCTCTCTCTCTCTCTCTCTCTTCTCTCTGACCCAAAATTGAATAAAGAACAAAAGAAAAAAGCTCTTTGCTTTTTTTCCTCTGCTTAGACTCCTGCTTCTGTAAGTATACAAATTCATCTATTTTCTTTATTTTATTATAATCTCAGATTACTTCATTATCCTTTTGCTTTTTGCAGGCACCCTCTTAGATTTTTCTTTTATGAATCACTTTGCCCTTTTGAGTTTTTTATTGGTAATGATAAGGAATTCTATCTTTGTGTTTTAGATCGCATCCAGATCGTGTCAGCCAGTGAGCCAATTGGGTAGCTGCTGATTTGGTAATACAGTCTTCAAGCTGTCCTTAACTGGAAGAAGATTGAAGACGAGCTTCTGGTGTATATATTCTACTTTGGGAAGTTGTTATTGATCTTTGACTTGAGGGTGCCAGTTTCTGCTTCTGGGTTTCTAAGTTTGACTCTCAAGGTGTCAATTCTTCTACTTTATTGAGATTGCTACAGATATTTAGAGATTCTGAAATTCTTAGAAGAGAATGATATATGAAAACAAGAGTTTTGCTTCCCTTGATTATTGATTCCGGGATTACTTTATCTTCATATGGAAATGGGTGTCTCTATCTGGATTTTTGATTTCTTATAATATCGATTTTGTTGTTCATTGTTTTGAAATGGGTTGTATGTATCTGGGTTTTGACTCTGTTATTTGAGGTATCAATTGGGTTCTACGTTGAAGGAGCTTCCACCCACAACTGGGCTTGACTGGATTTGTGTTTGAGGCCATTTCTTTTTCAAATCATGATCAAGCAGATACTTGGTAAGCTTCCACGGAAGCCATCTAAGTCAGCTGAGAATCGTGAGTTTGGGGGTTCATCTGCCTCTTCATTAAGTTCAAGAAGCAGTGATGTAGTAAGTAATAGGCCAATTAACTCGAACAGCCTACCTCTGTTGGGTCTTGATTCTGCTTCAAATTTAGGATATAGCCATGGAAGTAAGCTCCCTCAACTTGTAAATTCAAATCTAAATGGAAGTTCTGCTACTGCTTCTTATCAAGCGTTGCCAGCATTTAGGGATGTACCAAGCTCTGAGAAGCAGAACTTGTTTATGAAAAAACTGAACTTGTGTTGCGTAGTGTTTGACTTCACTGACCCAACAAAACATCTGAGAGAAAAAGACATCAAGCGGCAGACGTTGCTAGAGCTGGTAGATTATGTTACTTCTGCAAATGGAAAATTTACTGAAACTGTCGTGCAAGAGGTTATAAAAGTGGTAACTGTGAATTTGTTCAGGTCGTTCTCTCCGCAGCCCCGTGAGAACAAGGTTTTGGAAGCATTTGATTTGGAGGAGGAGGAGCCCTTGATGGACCCTGCATGGTCACACTTACAGATTGTGTATGAATTTTTTCTGAGGTTTGTTGCATCGCCCGAGACAGATGCAAAGTTGGCTAAGAGGTACATTGACCAGTCTTTCGTACTCAAAGTATTGGATCTCTTTGATTCTGAGGATCCTAGGGAAAGGGAGTATTTGAAAACAATTCTGCATCGCATCTATGGAAAGTTTATGGTGCATCGCCCATTCATTAGGAAGGCAATCAACAATATATTTTTCCGATTTATTTTTGAAACAGAAAAGCATAATGGGATTGCTGAGCTTTTAGAGGTTTTGGGCAGTATAATCAATGGATTTGCTCTTCCACTTAAAGAAGAACACAAACTCTTCCTTGTTCAGGTTCTGATCCCCCTTCACAAACCAAAATGCTTACAAATGTACCATCAGCAGTTGTCCTACTGCATTTCACAGTTTGTGGAGAAAGATTGCAAGCTTGCAGATACTATTATAAGAGGTTTATTAAAGTACTGGCCAATCACAAATAGTTCAAAGGAAGTCATGTTCCTAAGTGAGCTGGAGGAAATTTTAGAAGCAACTCAGCCAGCAGAGTTTCAAAGATGTATGGTACCCCTCTTCCGCCAACTATCTCGTTGCTTGAGCAGTTCACATTTTCAGGTAGTGAGCTGTGTCTTCACCTAATTTAATGTTTCTTTACGCTTTGCATATTCAGACTTTCCAAGTCTTTAGCTCTTCCTCAGTAAGTAAATTTAGTCTAATTCTGGAAACATGTCTTCGTTGTATTTAAGAAATAGTTATTGAAGAGAGTAAAGAGTTGGGGGAGAACCAATCTCTCTCTTCCTCTTGCGCTCTAAAAGGTTTTGCATCTCACCTTTCGTTAGATCTGATAAGTATTGTCTGCTATCTGGTTTGTTTTTACCTTTTTATAGACCATTAGTCATTATTATTGTAATTCCATCCATATTCGAGTACCAGGTACTTCTTCTGAATTCTTTTCTTGGACAATGTTATAGTTTTAGAAAGGTTATGCTCACAATTAATGCTTCTTTTCACTTTGATATAGTTTTCAGTACAGATAAAATGTTTCTTTGGCACAGACTCATATCTATATGTTTCTAATGAAAATTCTAAATAGTGACTGCTACATATAACTGATCGCTGTTGCTGGATTGCATTGCTTAGCAGTTATCTTATTATCACTTGGATGATTTTGACTGATGGTAGTGGCATAGAGGATCAAATGCTATTATGCTGCTGACCCCCTAGTTGGAGATGCTGAATAATTATGCATGTTTGAGGTCAAACCATTTAATAGGATTAACTGTTCACTCTTGTGTATGTCAAATGTCAAGCAATGTTTGGAAAATCATTTGGCATATTGACTGAATCTAGGAATTAGCATCTATTACTATTTTGTCGTTGCCTTTCATTTACTGAATTCCAGTTTTCTGTATGAAATCCTGATCCGGTATATACTCAGATTACGATCCTAGTTTTACTTGTGATAACAACACATTCCCTACCTATCCTGACCAAAAACCTTGAGCTGACTGATGCTTGCTTTTATAGGTGGCAGAGAGGGCATTGTACTTATGGAACAATGATCACATTGAGAACTTAATCAGACAAAACCGTAAAGTCATAGTACCCATCATCTTTCCAGCCTTGGAGAAGAATGGTCGCTACCACTGGAACCAAGTGGCCCGGAGCTTGACATTAAATGTCCGTAAAATCTACTCTGATGTTGATCCTGAGCTATTTGAGGAGTGTTTGCTCAAATTTCAGGAAGATGAAGCAAATATGGAGGAGATTAAAACAAAACATGAAACCACCTGGAAGCGCTTAGAAGAGAGTGCTGCTTCTAATGCTGTTAGCAGTGGAGCAGTTGTTCACCGCTTGAACCCAATTGAAATATCTTCAAACTAATGATAGAGGGATATATTCATGTAGTTCGAAGGTCTTGTGTTTCTTTTTTACTGCTTTTTGGCTCGTTTGGGAGGGAGCATTGCGTGGTTGTGTGCATTGAGAGGTTGAACACTATTAGATAGTTGTCCATACACTTTTCTGTTTGTCCCTCTATTTTTGGCTCTTTTCACCCTAACGTTCAAGAGAAACTCTACACAGCAGTGAAGTTCGTGATTCTGGAATTTGCACAGATACCATATGCTGGAAACAACAAAACAGGAGTTAGAAGCTGCATTACGCATTGAGGATGGCGAACATAGAGCTATGGTTGATGGTTATAAGGGTTAACATGAAAGAAGCTACAAAATACAGGTAATTTTATCCACTTGGAGTTTATTTAATTGGTTTGAAGTACTTACTAAACTACTTAGTTTCGTTTCTGTATGTGTATGTATTATAATATCTAAACAATCCGTTTGTGTTTGAATTTTTGAATATATTGATACTTCTGAATGCCTTTTGTTGGAATGAATGTTCTTAATTGGTTTGCTTTGGGTTTTATCTTCCTAAGCAAATGATTCCAAAATACTAGACAACAATGACTCTGCCTTCGTGTCATTCTAATCTATTTCAAAGTTGAAAATGAATGAAGCAATCCCATTAAAGTTATAATAAGTACTAGGAAAGAGAGCAGGGTCTCCAAGGCATGCATGTGCCAAAGACGGTAGAGAAACTACTTGAACCATAGGACTAGACTACTAAAGAAACTAGTTACGTAATCCTAAGAGCTTGATGCCAGGAAACAATATTCCAGAAGCTCATGATCAGATTTAGCCATATCTTCTACTAAAGAAACTAGTTATGCAGTCCTAATAGCCTTTTGCCAGGAGACAAAACTCCAGAAGCTCATGATCACATTCCAATTTAGCCATATCTTCTTCTTCCAAGGTCACCCATGCCTCTATACCGTCGCTAGAGCTACTACTCATCAATATGACAACATTTTTAATGGGCACACTGCTAATGCATGCCCAGACGGGTTTTCCCCATCCAAAATCAGTGTTATAAAATGGAAACCTAACCCAACTGCTGAACCTGTAAAACTCAACTTCTCCTTGAGAGACCAACTCACTTGTTTCTTTTAGAGGCTCGCAAGCGTGTGAAAACCCATCCTCACCTTGAAGTTTCCTCACATAATCATCATTGATCTTCCTTATTACTTTTCTTAATTGAACCACAAAATCATGCAGCTCTATATTTCTTTCATCTTTCATTATGGATGCAAGAGCAAACCGCCAGATATTACCAAAAGAATGCTCTGGCAAAGGTGGAGCCATTCTTTCCCTTAAATTCACCACATGGGATATCGCCATTGATGGCCTACCCTTACCAGATGTACCATTTTTTGTATTCATGCTAGACTTACATATGAGGGCTGTCACAGCTTCCACACGAGTAGGAGCATGGTCGTCCATGCCCAAACCCTTGGATGCTTTGACTTTCATCCTGGCTAAACTGGAAGCATCAAACACAAATCTCTTTGTCACAATCTTTTCTCTCTTAATCAAATTGGATGGCATGAAAATTTGCTTGTCCCTAGGTGGAAAGATGGTGGCTGAATTTAGGGAGGGAGTGATGTTTTCAACAACACCACGTGATCTTGTAGCCCATGCAACGAGGAAAGAAGACAGTGTTGCACCGTCTGCAATCTTGTGTGAAATGCAGATTCCGATACCCATACCACCACAGTCAAAGAAATTTAACTGGACAGCCATGGCTGCAACCGCCTTGTCTGTTCTAATATTGTAGGGATCAAGTGGAAGAAGTTGTTGCACTAAATTCATATCTGGACTTTTTAGTATCTCAGAGAGCTGAATGTTAGCTCTAGCTCTTGTGAAGACAACATCCCCATCTTCACAATCCACGGATGTATTGCCCTCAATCCTTCCAGCCAAAGGGTAGAAACAGGTCAGGGTTTCTGTTAAAGATTTCTTCAGCTTATGAAAAATTGTCATATCATCATCAATGTCTTCAGGAGCTGAATAGAAAAGAACGACGGGCACATAAAATATAGGAGATATCTGATCTAGCAGAGAGAGTCTGTAGCTCTTAAGGTGGTGTGGGGTTGGAATTGATGGTTTGCAGTAATCTTTAGAGACTATCTCAATCTTCATCTTCATTTTCACTTTCTCTGTAGGAAATGCAGGTCTAAAGAAATGAACAATCTATTACAGAGGCTGTGTATATATATATCTCTGAAGCTTTAACAAATTAGAGCTGGACTAACTAATTGCAGCAAGATTAACTGATTACAGCCAGGCTTAACATATAGACCTATCTGTTGCACCAGTTCAACCATATTTAACTTTGAATTTGAGATAATGTGGAAACTTGTCTAAGCTATCTAGAAGCTTTAGCTGGTCATCCACACATGGCGTAGGTTAACCATACGCATATGTAAATCATGTATGTCATACCACTACGTACGCCTACTGCTTGTGTTTAATTTTTATTTTTAATGCTTAATAAGTCTTTAGTTATGCCACTACGTACGCCTACTGCTTGTGTTTATTTTTTATTTTTTAAAATCAATGCTACCACCAAAGGTTGTATTATTTTAGTCCTAGTTTCCAGCTAATCAAATCAAACACACCCTCATTTCCCCTTGTCTCTTTGCAACACCCAGCGACTCCCTAAAGAAACCCCAAAGATTCCTTGTTTGGCTTTTATAGTTTTGGCCTTCCCCCCTGAGATAGAATATATTTTTCTTTCGTCCTTAATTTTAGTTAATTAGGATCATCCTTTCACTTTCAAGTGTTCAACTTTATACTGTACAGAAATTTGAATAAATGACAATAATTCATGTGGTCCAGCCACATTATTGCCAGTGAATTTCAAGGTCACTTTATTAGTTTGCATCCTCAGCATCTAAGATTTGTGATTTTAAATCTTCACAATTTTATGACGACCATGGAAGTTGAAATTATATCCAGAGAAACCATCAAACCTTTCACTTCAACTTCACCACACAATAGAACATACAACCTTTCTTTCCTCGAACAGGTTAATCCTCGTACTATGTTCAGTTGTTTACTTCTATCCCAAGGAGGCCTCTGAGACACCTGATTTCTTGACTGGTGGTGATAAATCCAACCAGCTCAAGAAATCCCTATCAGAAACACTAGCGAAATACGACCCTTTTGCCGGTAGGATCAGAGATAGAGTCTCCATTGACTGCAATGATGATGGAGTCACATTTGTAGAAGCAAGATAAAAAACATTGAGCTATCTGGATTCTTGAGCACCCTAAAGATGAGGTGCTGGACCTGTTTATTTACAGACAATCTGCAGTGGAATGACGATTCGAATATCAACGTCCTCTTGGCTGTACAAGTAAGCTTCTTTGACTCTGATGGGATGGCAGTTGGCATCTGCATGTCACATAAGATAGCTGATACCTCCACCATGATCAACTTCATTAACGACTGGGCAGCGGTGGCCCGTAATAACAAAAAATGTGATCAATATGTACCATCTCCTGAGTTCATCTCAGCAACTGTCTTTCCCCGATGTGATCTGCCACTGTCGCCAGAAGCCATGATTGAGAAAAGCAATTGTGTGACCAAAAGATTTGTCTTTGATGCAACAAAGATTGCTGCCCTCAAAGCCATAGTCACGGAAAAATTGCAAAACCCCACAAGAGTTGAGGCTGTGACTGCTTTTATACATAGCCGTGCCATTTCTGCATTGAGATCAACTTCCGGGTCGTCCTCAAACCCAACCACTTTCATCCAGACAGTGAACCTCCGCGCTAGAATGGTCCCTCCATTGCCACAAAGCTCCGCAGGCAGCATGATTTGGTTCTTTACCGTGTCCACAGCTGAGGACAGTGTGGTTGAGTTGCATGATCTCGTGGGTCAAATGAAGCAGAGAAAGACCAAGCTTTGTGACACGTATGTCAGAAAGTTTCGTGCAAAAGATCAATGGCCTTCCTCTTTAAAGAGTGTATCCAAGAATCAAGGAAACCATTTTCTAAAGGGAATTTGGTCATAATAGATGGCAGCAGCTGGTGCAGATTCCCAGTGTATGAGCTGACTTTGGTTTGGGAAAGCCAATTGGGTCACTATTGCTAGCTGTGCCATGAAGAATGCTGTCTTCATGATTGATACAAGGGATGGCGAAGGGATTGAAGCTTATGTTGAACTTGGAAAGCAGGAATTGGATGTGTTTGAGCGTGATGCCGATCGTGTCTTGTGCCTTTCTTGGCTTTCTCGCTTCTTTTGAAGTCCGAGTGTCATTTGAAACGGTCGCACCTAGCTTCAAAAATCTTTGTGTGTGTTTACTGGTCGGTTGGTTTTGTTGTTTTATAATGGTTTTCTGAATGTGTTATTTTTTTCTTTTCCACTCTAATGCTGTCGATAAAATACCTATTAGCTGTTGAAACAATATCCCTGCTAGCTTATAAAAAAGCAGCTAAGTTGAAAACATTTTCAAAGTATAGTTTGGGTTTGACCTTTGCATGTTCCTCCCCATGTAGAATCAGGAGGAGATAGTATTAAGACTAACCTTGCCACTCTCCACTAGGTTCCCTTGGGTCCCTACTTTTTTTTCGTCGCGTTTCTTTTTTTCATGGATTTCACTTGATCCCACGATTGTTGGAGTAGTCCTCGTCAGATATTTTTTCGATTGTCGCATTTGGGTTCATGTGAAACACTTTTATATATTTTGATGCGGTACTTACTCACATGAAGGCAATTGGATGTTAGAGTTCTAACCTCTATATAACCCCAAACCGGAAATTTATGGTTCAGGCCTGATTTTTGAAAAATATGAACTTTATTACGTGATACTTAGATTGATCAGCGGCACGCAACAATTTGGCACACGTTTACGGGTCATAGTTTTCACGGCCGACCTTCATGAATTCGAAACTGTTGTGTCCTAACTACATTCCTCCAATCAAAACTAGATCCTAGAGCCGAGTCGCATACAAAATAAATTCGGTGAATCCTTGTTTTTTTTGTTTTTTTCAGTCTCGAATTGTGGGGTCGTGAGCATGAATGTTTGTTGAGGTAGGCTATGATCTGGGGGTTTTTTGTTGTCGAACAGTTATTTCCTCAGGTCATGTTTCTGCCATTGGTATCTCTTCCTCGTTTCCTGTTTTTCCCCGTGCATGGTTATTCAGGCACCCCAGCAGCTACCTCTTCTCCCCGGTCGCTTGTTTAAAGGTAACTCCCTGAGAAAAACCATATCAATTTAGGGTAAATGTGCAGATAAAAGCATGTGCTTTTATGTTCTTTTATAAACCCCTTTTTTTTGGTAATAGTTCTTGGTGATTGCTAATACTTCGAACGTCTTAGGTCTCGTTTGGTCACTGATAGGATCAGGTATGTTAGTACTTGTATTATACTTTAAGCGTCAATACTCTGTGTGGTTGGGTCACAAGTGAACGTGGATGTAGGCCATAATACGCATTAATTTTGCGTGGTTTTGTAGTATGAATTTATCCGTGTATTAAGACCTGGTGTGTTGGACATACTTAGATCTCAGGCGGTTACTGCGTAGTCCCGTGTACAAAACTCTACAATTAGAGCACAATGCATTATTATTTCCAGCTCGTGCCAATCATTGATCCATCTGTGGACTGTTCTATTGAGTTCCAGAGTCCCCCAAAAAAAAAAAAAAAAAAAAAAAAAAAAAAAAAAAAAAAAAAAAAAAAAAAAAAAAAAAAAAAAAAAAAAAAAAAAAAAAAAAAAAAAAAAAAAAAAAAAAAAAAAAAAAAAAAAAAAAAAAAAAAAAAAAAAAAAAAAAAAAAAAAAAAAAAAAAAAAAAAAAAAAAAAAAAAAAAAAAAAAAAAAAAAAAAAAAAAAAAAAAAAAAAAAAAAAAAAAAAAAAAAAAAAAAAAAAAAAAAAAAAAAAAAAAAAAAAAAAAAAAAAAAAAAAAAAAAAAAAAAAAAAAAAAAAAAAAAAAAAAAAAAAAAAAAAAAAAAAAAAAAAAAAAAAAAAAAAAAAAAAAAAAAAAAAAAAAAAAAAAAAAAAAAAAAAAAAAAAAAAAAAAAGCCCGGAGCTTGACGACTGCTTCCCCTATTTTTGTCTTCTGCAGGCTAGCCTTTATTGAAGGCCCAGACCCTTTCCCTGCTGAAGGCAAACCCCTTTTTCTCTAAGTTGACCCTCTCCGAAAAAGAGCATCAACAGTTTGGCGCCGTCTGTGGGAAACGATACTTGAATCCCATTTTTCTCTACCAGCCCAGCTGGCTCCTTCTCCTATCCGGCCCCGTCGCCTCTTCTTCACTCCACACTCAGCTATGCCTACTGAGGATAGCCAGGGGACTCAGCACCATATCCCCCATGGGGGTACCTCCCAGAGAGACCTTCAGCAAATGCCAATCTCCAGGCAGAACTGGAGAGCCTCCGCGCCAGTGTCACCAGGATGTCTGAGAAATATGACCATCTTCATGCTAAGAACGTCGAGCTCGAGCATGACTACCGCACACTGAAGCGTAACTGGGAGATGAATCAGACCCAAGGCTCCCAACGCAGCCTACCCAGGTACCTGAGCGTACCCCAGCCAAACCAGCCGGAGCACTCCCACCACAATGTCCCAACCCAGCCTAGGCCCAGCAAGGGTAAAGGCCCCCTCCATCCGGAGACGACCAAGTCGCGGCTTCTCCGCATCTCCCCGCCAAGGAACCGGCCTCATGAACCAACAAAGGTCTACAGGGATTGCAGGGACCGTATCCTGGACCGTCAAACGGAACCCCCTCTTATCTCTGTTAATCTCCAAGACCCAAAGATGACACACCTGGGCCCCCCGCCAAAGCCTACCCAACTACCCCTTGGAGAAGGTATAGGGGACTCAGAGAACTGGGGGCCAGGGTTACTCAGAAGACTACGAGTCTTATCACACCGAGGCGTTCGAAGAATTCTACCCAGCCCATGGCCACCCACACACCAGACCCCCAGCACCCGAGACTCTCCCTCATACCGACCCGGCAATGAGGCTTCTCTTCGAGAAAGTCCGGCGCCTGGAGAGCGAACATCAGCGCAACCACCAACCCTCTCTGGGCAAAGCCACGACCTGGGCCCTTTACCGAACGCATCCTTAATTACCACCAGGAGAAGGACATCCAGCCACTCCGCATTGCCTTCTACACTGGCACAGAGGATCCTCTCACCCACATACATTCTTTCCAGTCTGCCCTGGGGTGCAAGGGCCTCACTGACGAAGGCATGTGTCTCCTCTTCCCTTCCACTCTCAGTGGCGCGGCCCTGAAATTGGTTTTACAGGCTGAACCCCCGCACTATCAATACATTTGACAGTCTGAAACAGGCCTTCCTGGACCATTTCATGATCCAAACCGATCGCCTCTACTCCGCGGACGACCTATACATGCTTAGACAGGGTGAGGATGAGCCCCTTCGGGAGTATGCAGCCAGGTTCAGCCACGAATACTCCCGCTGCCCAGATACTGATGATCGTGCCGCTTTCGGTGCTTTCAAGAGTGGCCTCCGAGAGTCTAACTTCCGGTACCTGGTCCACAGCAACCCTTGGAACACATATGCCGAGCTGATGAAGCAAGCAGCAGTTCATGCCAAGGCTGAGTACTTCAACTCCAAGCGCAGCCCAACCATCCCCGGCGCATAATCCTTTGCTGATCCTCCACCTGCTTCGGTACCCATCCCAGCTCCACCCCAACATTCTGCCCCTACACCAAGCACCCAGGGTGCCCAACACCCCAAGAGGAAGGATAGCTACCAGCATACCTTCAACAATAACAAGCGGGGCAGACATGGGAACCACCACCAGTCTAGTGGAAGCAACCCCCCCAGGACAAATGACCGGGCCCCACTCCCATTCTCACCCAAACCCAGGTTCGAGGTCTTCACCACCCTCAACACTACCTATGATAATGTCCTAGTGCACGAGGCACCTATCATACCTCAGCCTCCACCCCGGAAACCAGGCAGCAAGCCTATGCCTAACACAGGAGTCTTCTGTCGCTTTCATCAGTTCGGTGGCCATGATACCGAATCTTGTGTTGCCTTGCGCAACATCATTGAGGGACTTATTCGCGAGGGGAAGCTGGATAAATACGTGCACAACCTCCCACCTAACCCTCACCAACGGCAGATCAACATGATCTCAACCATCAGTGGTGGCCCAACCACGGCTGGAACCTCCAACAACTCCATCAAACATTATGTCGCTCCACCTATGCGCACCAGGTCTTCAGCACTGAGCAGGGACGCTTGCCGAAGACACAAAAAACAGGCTGGGCCCTCCATTACCTTCTGCGAGGAGGAGGAGCGCGGCGTTATCCTCCCTCATGATGACCCAATCATTATCCGCGCCGACATATCTAACTTTGACGTTGGGCGCATATTGGTAGACACTTGCAGCTCAGTCAGTGTGATGTTTGCTGATGCCTTCAATGAGCTCCAGGTCCCGTCTCATTTGCTCGACCGAAGTGTCACACCCCTGGTGAGCTTTTCGGGGGATGTGGTCCAGCCTATCGGGAGCATTCATCTCCCTATCTCTATTGGAGCAGCTCCCTAGCGAACGACGGTCATAACTCCCTTCCTCATCATTGATTGCCCCACAGCCTACAACGTTATCCTGGGACGCCCTGCCATGGCCCAGATGAAGGTTTTCATTTCCACACATATGTTACTATTGAAATTTCCTAGGCCCCTATGGCACGGGCACGGTGCGCGACGATCAACTTGGGCGCCCGAAGCTGCTATGCTTCGACAGTAAGGTCTACCAATCGCTAACATAGGGGTGAGGCCCTTAGCGGTAACCCAGGCCATAGCCCCACCTCGAACTGGCACTAAGCGCCCAGAAGACCCTAGGGAGGAATCTACCACCCAACAGGCCGAACCTGTGGAGGACCTCGAATTGGTCACTCTCCATGAGGATATCCCAGATCGACAGGTCAGGATTGGCACCTCCCTCTCACAAGAGTTTCGCTCTGATCTTATTGCCTTCCTCCGCCTCAACTCTGAAGTCTTTGCTTGGTCTTATAACGATATGCCGGGCATATCACCTGACGTCATCTCCCATAGGCTAAGCATTAATCCTGTCGTCCGACCCGTTCGGCAGAAGCGTCGTGCTTATGACCCAGAGTGGTATGAGGCCATGAAGGCGGAGGTGGATAAGCTGAGCACCATTGGATTCATCAAAGAGGTGGATTATCCCACCTGGCTAGCCAATGTGGTAATGGTACATAAACCAAGGAAGGGTTGGCGCATGTGCATAGACTACACAAATCTGAACCGGGCCTGCTCAAAGGATAGTTTCCCCCTACCCCGCATTGACCAGCTAGTTGATGCCACAGCTGGCCACGCCCTCCTCAGCTTCATGGACGCTTACTCAGGGTACAACCAGATCTTCATGCACCCTGAGGACCAAGCTCATACATCCTTCATCACTGATCATGGCCTTTACTGCTACAAAGTCATGCCCTTCGGCCTCAAGAATGCCGGGGCTACGTATCAGCGTCTGGTGAACAGCATCTTCGCTCCACTAATTGGCAACACTATGGAGGTTTATGTTGATGATATGCTGGTCAAGAGTCGCACTGCTGACCAGCACATCTCCAACCTCTCCGCCATGTTCACCATTTTGAAGCAGTATAAGATGCGGCTCAACCCTACCAAGTGTGCATTTGGGGTGGCCTCCGGCAAATTCCTTGGCTTCATGATCAACCAAAGAGGTATTGAGGCCAACCCATAAAAGATCCAGGCTATCTTGGATATGACGATACCCAAGACGGTCAAGGACATTCAGAGCCTTACCGAGCGTGTCGCAGCCCTGACCAGATTTATCTCTAAGGTCACTGATCGTTGCGCCCCATTCTTCAAGGCATTCAAGGGTAGCAAACGCAGCATCACCTGGACTGCCGAATGTGACCAGGCATTTAGTGAGCTCAAAGCGTACATGAGCCGAGCCCCTTTATTGTCAACCCCTGAGTCTAGGGACGTCCTCACCATCTACCTCTCTGTTTCGGCTACAGCGGTTAGCTCAGTGCTCATTCGACCACACGACGGTGCTGAGCATCCGGTGCACTATGTGAGCAAAGGATTGCAAGATGCGGAGGTTCGATACCCGGACATTGAGAAACTTGCTTTCGCCCTGGTGGTTTCGGCTAGACGCCTCCGACCATACTTTCAAGCTCACACCATCCATGTCTTAACCAACCAACCACTCAGGCAAATGTTGTAGAAGCCAGAGACTTCTGGGAGGTTAGTTAAGTGGGCCATTGAACTTGGTGAGTTTGATATCCACTACAAACCCCGCCAAGCCGCAAAGGGCCAAGCCGTGGCTGATTTCATATCTGAATTCACCGAACCCCATACTCTGGCCAGTCCTCAGATTGCAATCACGCCTACTCCTACCTCGAACCAGGTCCACGTCGCCAGCAACGGCTCCCTAGACTTAACTCAGCCCTTATGGACCTTGTATGTGGATGGCTCTTCCAATGCCCAGGGATGTGGAGCTGGCCTCATTCTCATCTCCCCAGACAAGGTTGTCCTTGAGTACGCCCTCCGCTTCAAATTCCACACCTCCAACAATAAGGCCGAATACGAAGCACTCTTAGCCGGCCTTCAGCTAGCCAAGGAGATGGGCGCCAAGCAAATCCAAATATTCAGCGACTCGTAACTTGTTGTCCACCAAGTCAACCAGGACTTCACGGCCAAGGACGTCTCCATGACAGCCTACCTCCAACATACCCACCACCTGCTTACAACTTTCAATGCTTATCTCATAGGCCAGGTGCCACGCTCTGAGAACAGCCATGCGGATGCATTAGCAAGGTTAGCCTCGGCAATGGAGCAGGGCATAGGTCGCAACATCCACATCGAGTTCTTGGACCAGCCCAGACACGGGCACCATCATCTGTGTCATCGATCAAAGCCCTACATGGATGGACCCTTATCACTCAGTTCTTGCAGAACCGGACACTACCTGATGATCCTGCTGAAGCGCGGCGTGTTCGCTATCGTTCCGCTCGATACTTGATCATCAATGGCGCCCTACACAAACGCGGCTTCAGCCTCCCCTACCTTCGGTGCCTGACCCCAGAGGAAGGTACCTATGTCCTGAGGGAGATTCATGATGGTATCTGTGGCAACCACTCAGGCGCTCGCTCCCTAGCACACAAGATCATTCGGCAAGGATATTTTTGGCCATCACTTCACACTGATGCCCAGACCTTCACCCAGAAGTGCGATAAGTGTCAGCGATTTGCCAACATCCCACAACTTCCAGCTGAGCCATTGACAGCCATGGTCAGTCCTTGGCCATTCGCCCAATGGGGACTTGACCTCATTGGACCTATGCCTGAGGGCAAGGGCCAAGTCAAGTATGCAGTTGTAGCTGTGGACTACTTCACCAAGTGGGCTGAAGCTGAGGCCTTAGCCACCATCACTGCAGCCCGCATCGAAACTTTTGTTTGGCAAAACATCGTATGTCGCTTTGGCATCCCCAACACCATCGTCACGGACAATGGCCGGCAATTTGACAACCCAAAGTTCAAGCAATTTTGTTCCAACCTCAAGATAAAGCTTTGCTTCGCCTCCCCAGCCCATCCTCAATCTAATGGCCAGGTGGAAGCTGTGAACAAGATCATCAAGAAAACTCTAAAAACCAAGCTTGACAAAGCTAAGAGCTGCTGGCTAGAGGTTCTCTGGTCCTACCGCACCACCTTCCGGACCTCAACAGGAGAAACACATTTCTCTCTCTCCTTTGGTACTGAAGCAGTGACACCAGTGGAGATTGGCCAGCCCACATACCGCACCTCCACTTATGAGGCCGAAGCCAATGACGAGCAGCTAGCCCTGAACCTCGACTTCATTGACGAGCTTTGTGACCAATCCAACATGCGCAATGTCGCGTACAAACAGCGCATCGCTAAGTACTACGACCCCCGAGTCAAAGCCCGTGCTTTCAAACTTGGGGACTGGGTCATACGCAAGATTTCATTGGCCACCAAGAATCTTACTGAAGGTATCTTGGGCCCAACATGGAAAGGTCCTTATGAGGTTACCAAAGTCTGCCGCCCCGGCACTTATCAGCTTTGTGATACCAAGGGCAAGACCTTGCCTCATCCTTGGAATGTTGATCACCTCAAGTACTACTATAAGTAAACATACCTAGACCCTAGGCCATTATGTTTTCTTAGACTTTGGTCTCGAGCCTTGACTCAACCAACTCTTGTACTTTTTGCCTTCCAGCACATATTTAATGAATGCCCGACCCTGACTCATTTTCATCAATCACATGGTTCTCATTTTGCTAAGAACAATTGATATCAAATGACAACAAGTCTCATATCATAACACATCAAAGTAACCTTGCCCCAGGCAAGGCAAAATGTTCATACATAATCAAAATAAACATCAAGTGTTTAAACTAAAAAGCTAGAATACATAAAGAAGGCAACGCCTTTAAGACTCGGTCGATGGAGCATCCGTGGTGGCTGGCTCTGGCTCTAACTCTGGAGCGGCATCAATGGTACGACTAGATAAGGGAGGCTCGCCACTCGTGTCAAAGTTAATCTCCACTGAAGGGTTGAACATCGCCACCCTCTCCTCCCAACCCAGCTGCATCGCCACCATCTGATCCATGATGTAGCTCCTCAGCTCCTCCGAACCCCGAAACGACTCGATCGCTTCGACTCGGGCAGCAGCTACCTCCTCGGCCCTCGACCGCTTCAGCTCTTCCATCTCCTTGGCCATCGCCGCTTTCTGCAGCACCAGGGTGTTCTTCTCTTGGATGGCCTCCTGCGCCTCCGCTATCTTATCCTTGGCCATTTCATTGCGCCTCTTCAACCTCTAGATCTCCTTATCTGCCTTGGCCATATTCACGTACATCTTGCCATAAGCCTGCAACACAAAGCATGATCAGTTAAAGGCAAATTCGAACTATATGAACAGAGTCTTAAGGCAAGCCAACTTACATAGGCCTGGGTCAGGAACGCCTTCTGGGCCCGATCTGCATAGGAGGTAGCCAGGGTCCTCGCCAGAACCTTTGGGTCACTCTTCACGCCTTCCAGGAAGACGTTCACCAAGGGAACCTCTTATCGATGCATGGCCAGGTTCACCTCCTTCTTCTGCCGACACAGCCCAGAGAAGTCCACCTTCTCCACCCCCTCGACGTAAACATCATCCATACCAAAGGGGAGCTTCGGCGGTGCCTGCGGGTCAAAGGGAGGAAGCCTCGGCCCTGTCCCCATCACGCTCCGGCGAGCTTCCTCCAGCACTCTCTTTTTTCCCAGCACATCAGAGACCAGGCCTTCATCATCTCTGGGACGCCTCCCAGCAGCCTGTTGAGCACCTCCCTTCTCCGCCTTCTTGGCCCGAGACTCCCTCAACCGTTTCTGCATCTCGGGATCATCCAGATCCATGGCCACCTTCGTGCTTCCCCCTTATGATCCCTGCCACTGCACATCAAAAGCCAAGTTAGTCTCAACTACAAAAGAATCATAAGACAAATAACAATAGTGACCCAGGTACTTACTCCCTTGCAAGAGTCCAGACTCGTATAGGTTCTTCTGGGTGACTAAGTTTCTGCGCTCACGCTGGGTCTCCGACAACAGTGACCTCACTCTCTCAACCTCGTCGTCTCGCTCTTTGGAGATCGGTCCCCACTTCACCGAACCTGCACCACAGTTAGATATCAACTCAGCCATTTATACTTGCACATGCAAAAAAAAATAAAATAATAAATAATAAAGACCCAAGTGTCAGAGCACAAGTCAAAACACTACAAAACAACTAGTCTTAAGGGATGGGGCTAAGGACCTATAGACTGCAAGTGGGTTGGAATGTGTCTGGAGACGGTCTTCCCTAGAGGACACTCCCAATCACCATAGGCCAAGCACCATCTGTTCCGCCAAGACTTCTGCGTACTCAGCTTATGCCCAATAAAATAATCTCTCTCCTTTGCCCTCCGACAATTGGCTTGTACCCAGCCAAAGGTTCCCTGTTGCTTGGAGATCGAATACAAGTACATAAACTACTCAAATATTGGCTCCCCCAACCCAACCAACCACCAAGCAATGTAAACTCCATGCAGAAGTAGCCAAAAGTTGGGATTGTATTGCCCCGGCGCATACCCCAACTTGGCCAGCATCATCTGTACCCAAGGATGAAACGGTAGTCTGAGACCATGCTGGTACATATCGGTGAATATCATCACTGAACCCTCCGGAGGATATCTCACTACATTCGCAGCACTGGGTAACCTCAGGCCCACATAGGGTGGCACACTATAATCTGTCCGAAGCTCAACCAACTTTGCTTCTGTAAGTGTATTTCGTTTCCCAACGGGACACCAACCCGGATGTCCACCCCCTCTGAAGCTGAAGCCACGGCTATACCCACAGACTCTGATGGTGATGTCTGATTGCTCGAGCCCACCTCCGGTGTATGTGCCAAAGCTAGAACCCGATCAACACTGGCTTCTAACACTTTATACTTCTTCTGCATCTCCCTATATGCCTCTGACCCAGACTCTACTGATGGCCCAGCCATCTCACCCTCATGAACTACCATCCTAGCTTCTATAAGCCCTTCTACAAAACCCTCTGTTGGGAACTCTCATCTTCAGAACAAACATACTCACTGGCCTCTTCACTCTCAGACATCTACAACATGCAGAAACAAGAAAAGGGGACTAATGCACATGCAAGGAGGATCCAAACACAAAAACACAAAATTGGACGGCCTCTACATGCTTTTTGATCTAGATGCATACATTCAACATGTTCATACTCATGCTCAAGGTGTTCATCATACTCTTCAAACATGTTCATACCAAAGGTTAAATTTCATTTCAAAAATTCAAGGGAAATGAGGTCTAACCTTGTTTGCACCACCACGGAAATTCGCTGGAAATCTCCTTGGCCCTAGCACCACCACCAAAATCTCACCGGAAATCTTTTTCTCCTTCTCACTTTCTGAAAATCTTTCTCAAAAAAATCTCCAAGTGTGATGCCTACGTCACTCCAAGTTCCTATTTATAAGGTCCCAAGGGCACACAAGAAACCCTAGCACCCTTTCAGTTTCCCCCTCAACTCCTTGTACCTACACACAATTGGAAATTCAAATTCCAAGTTATTCAAATTTCATATTTTCAAAAATAAAAAAATAAAAAAATTTTGCCTTAGCCCGACATTATTACTGGAAGCCCAAGTCTCTATGGCTGCCTTCAAAGCCCAAATACCTCAACAAAAGGCTACCCAGCTCCGTATGCATAGGCCAAGCCCACGTCAAGGAGCCGGGCCAGCTACCTTGCCTAGTCTCCGAAGGCCCAGCCAAGATTGGGCAAAATCCTCACCTTTTTTCAAATTTACGGGCCCCAGCCCCTACACCTTTCCAAATATACCCACCAAACCGCTACAATTTGGGCCAGTTACCTTCACATGACCCGACTCCAATTCTTGCCTCCTAGCCCTCTTGCCGAACCTAGTTGGGGTTCCCAACTAAACAAATAAAAATATATATACAAAGGGCAGCAACGATGGTCCAGCTCCCAAATCCCTAAGTCAGACAGCCTAGCCCCAATTCCTAGCTCTCAGACCCAAGACAATTTTTCCCAAGACAGCAGAAAATCCAACACACCTTTGCCGAACAGCAAGGAGCATGCGCAAGCAAAATGGAGGGCTTCGAAAGCACTATTTACCTCAACAAAGGAGCACCCAAACCGCAGGCTTAGGCCCGGCCCTTGAGAACCCAGCTCCGGCTCCACGCCAGGACTCTACTGCAAAATCAAACACCGAGGTCAATCCAATTGATCATCATACTAGCCTAGCGGGCACAACACCCAGGCAGTCTGAAATTTCCTTGCCAACGGCAAGGACCATGTAGAAGGAAAAATGGAGGCTCCAAATGATCAAGACACCCAGCCCGTGCACTTACTTCAGCTCCAGCTCCTTCTCATTCGTCAAATCTGCCCGGCTCCAAGGCTTGACAAAACCCAGGCCCAGCCTTGCCAAAGGTAAGAAAACAAGGCCCAGCCCCAATCTGATCTACACACCCAAGTCACAAGGAAAGCCCAGCCCCGAGTCTGCAAGGCTTGCCCAGGGCCTGGGTCCGAATCGGGTTCAGCTCTCGTCCGAACTCCGTGTGCCTAGCCTTACCGAAGGCCTAGCTCCAAACCTGCACAGCCAAGTCAAAAAAACAAAAAGACAATTGATCAGGACACCCACACCTACCTTGCAACAACCCACGGACCCATGCCTCCTTGCTCAGCCCAGCTTGGGAAAATTTCACAGCTCCAAGTCACTTACCGAAGGTTTCAAACACAACAACAGCATGCCATCATTTTGAACAGGTTACTTGCCTTGCCGAACGGCAAGGCCTAGGAAATTTCGAAGAGGGCTCATGAAAACTCACCGACCAAGGTTGCTGCTAGCACGTAGCCTTGCCAAACACAAGGAAGGGCTTAACGAAAGCCTTACCACCGAGACCCAGCCCGTAAACTCAAGGATTCCAAATCTGATTTCAAGGCTCAGTTCCAACTCCTTGGTCCTCTCCTTCGGTACCCAAAGCCTCACCCTTTAATCTGGATGCTTTGCCAAATATTCAACGACCCCGGCTCCACCGAATTTCACAAAAGCCAAGCCGCACCCTCTTGTTCAAAATCAAAACAACCAAGGCACCATATCAGAAACCAGCGAGCTGGCCTTGCCATGAAGATATTTTTTGCAGTTCACAGCACTCACCAATACCAAAGTGAAATTTCGTAGACCTGGCTCCAAGGCCTAGCTCAAGCACTGGAGGCCCGGCTCTGCCCTTCGAAAAACTCCCCAGGTAACTTGTCGAACGGCAACTGCCGTGGAGACCTTTGCCAAGAGCTTGAAACCACCCCAAGCAACACTTGCGAACCCAGCCCCAATTCTCCTTCTAACAGCCAAGCCAAAGGGAACCTACCGAATGGCAGGCTCTGTGCACAAGTTTTTAGAAGCTCACAAACTCACAAAACAATCACCTCGACCCAAGCCAAGGTGGCAGCAGCCTAGCTTCAAACTCTTGCTGAAACTGAAGGGAGGACTCCATGGCTACCCTCTTGCCAAGTCTGCAGCTCCAATCACCTCGAAATCTTCTTGCCAAAGCTCAAGGGAGCCTAGCTTCAAGCTGCCCAGCCATTTTTGCCTAGCCCCCTTTTTGCTCTACAAAAGTCCCAACTATTGCTTGCCGAACGGCAAGAGATAGTGAAACCTTTTATACCCCCCTCAAATACCCTAGCAACTAACTAAGCCATACCTAGGCTAAAACTGACGGCCCAACCCCAACAATTAGCTAGGTCAATGACAAAGGGACCCCAGGCCATTTTTTCCCTTTTTTCTCCCTTAAACAACCTTGCCAAAACTGATCAGACCCAACTCCACCATTCAATTTCGCCAGGCCCTTTGCCTAGGACAAACCAAAGGCCTTTCTCTTGGGCCCTTGTTCTTTAAAAGCCTATACCACATGGCCATTAACAAAAAACAAAAAGAGAGCGAGCCCAGCTCCTACTTTGGGCACTAGCGAAATGGGCTCCCAAGGGATTCTCTTTACCAAAATCCCATACCCAGCTCAACAAATATGTGTTACCCAAGCCCATACCACTTGGCCATTAAAAAAAAAAACAAACAAACAAAAGGCCCCGAATGGCAAGGGGGCTAGGAAAATGGAAACATGGAAGCCCATATTCTTTTCTCCTTCAAGCTTCAGCCCAATCTTTTGAGACCCAGGCCTTTGCTACTCAAAACCATCACTTAGTTACCAAACGGCAGGACCCGGGTCATAAACACTAAGGCCCACAGATTTTCTTACTGAAGCTTCAAAAACCCAAGTCTACTTTCTCTTAAAGGTACCCAGCTACCAACAAACACTGAGGCTAACACAGCTTTTATCATACCTTCTAAGTGTTAACGCAACTTCTAGCTTGACAACTTGGGGAACTAAGGACTACCCTACGGCTCCCACTGAACCTGGAATGCTCGGTCATGATCACGCAAAAGCTCACAAGTTCCCAACCCAGAAGTCACTTCTTGATCGCGAACTTGGGGGACTATGTTTACACCATAATCAACCGAGCATATCCAGCCTCAAAACAACTAGCACCAAGGCAAACACGCCTTTTCCCTTGCCGAAGGAAGACACTCTTCCGAGGTGCCAAGCACCTGCCGAAACTCCCGACTGCTAAAGCTCACAAACTGCTAAACCTAATCTCCATGACATGTGTCACCACCGCGGCGACTTGCACAAAGTCCCACATCAGAAATCTACACCAACCTCCCACTTTCACTTCCCTATAAAAAGGGAACATTACCTTAGTAAGATGGGTAACTACTTTTCTGCTTTTTACGTTACTCTGCAAAGGTTACCCTTCTTAGCTAACTTAAGCATCGGAGAGCCTTCGGCCGGCACCACACCGGTGCCCGGAGCTTGACGACTGCTTCCCCTATTTTTGTCTTCTGCAGGCTAGCCTTGATTAAAGACCCAGACCCTTTCCCTGCTGAAGGCAAACCCCTTTTTCTCTAAGTTGACCCTCTCCGAAAAAGAGCATCAACAACCTCAATTAGCCATTTTGAGTTGGCCATTAAGAGCATCTACAATCATGCTCTCTATTTTTTAGTTAAAATTTAGCTAAAAACATATAAAAATTATTTTAGGAGCTCTTTATAAAATTTTAACTTCAATCATACTCTCTAGTTTATGGAGTCATAAATGCTATAACTCTTTTTTAATTGGTCCATCTCTATAATATATATATATATATATAAATAGTTAGCATTAATTAAAGGTTTAAAATAATCATAAATAAAATAGCATTAAATCATAGGGAGCCATTAGGTCCTAGAAGTCTCCCTATTTTAGGTGGATAGGGAGCATGGTTGGAGTTGTATTTTTCCCATTCCTCTCTAAAATTTGTCTAAAAAAATGATTTAGGAAGCCCATTATAGATGCTTAACTGTTCAATTGGCAACATATATATATATATCTAACCTATCCAAAGTCCTAGTGCTCAAAGAATCTCAAATATATCATCATGTATATGACACAAGTTGGCCAATCATTCCAAGTTTGACAAATAAACAAGTGATGGTTTTATAACAAGTTGGTACACAAAAAAGGAATTAGAATAGTTAATTCTTCCATCTTATTTCACAACATTAATTGATCATGAACGCCCAGGAACGAACCTAGAATTTTAAATTGGAATGAGCTAAATTTACATTATGGACCAACCTATTAAGAATTAATTTCATTGACCACAAAAATATATCATAATCAAAAGGACATAATGAGCTTTACCCCTCAATCTAGTACCTATATATTTTCTATTTTCTATGTGCAGGAGTGCGTGAAGTGAACACAACGCGATACGGCTAGTAATGGTATTGGTTATGGATTCCAGATTTCGGACAAGAGTGATTCCACGAGTGGATAATTGATTCCGGTGCAACTAATTATATAACATTTGATCCTGATGATTTTCTGAATACTACCCAATCTTGACGAACTTGTAATGCTAATGTCAATGGAGTTACTTGTCCTGTGACATGAGTTGGCAGTGTTGCCCATTCATCCTCTCTTTTACTATTTAATACTTTACTTGTTCTATCTTTATCCAATAAATTGATATATGTTAATTAAATTACTAAACAATTGAATTATTGATATCTGTGAAGCGTTATAGATTTAATGTATATACTGACACAAAGTTAAAGTATTGGTCTTTATAATATTTGGTCAGAGTCTTCATCGCATAGTTAATTACAAATGTAATCAACCAGTCATACTCTTTTGTGTGTGTGTGTGTGTGTGTGAGAGAGAGAGAGAGAGAGGGTGTGTAATTGTATGTAGTGTTCCCGTTTTCATTTATTTTATGTTATACATACAAAGAGACATATGTGATGATGACCCAATAGCCCAATATCTAAACTTTCAAGCAACATTAAAACTGGGTCTTTTATCGTTTATCTTATTCTTCTTTTTTTGTTAGTACTCTTCACCCAAACAGACCTTTGCAATAATCTAATTCGATCTGAGACCCACATGAAATAATCTAGTCTCTAGACGGTGTCTTCCTTTACATTTGTCGCTTACGTATAATGTGTATATACTACATTTTAATTCATTTTGTCAATATTTTCAGCGCCATTGTTAGCCATGACGAAGTCAAGACTCCGTTTTTCCTTGAAAACTTTTATGTATGATGACAAATGAAAAGGTCGTCCCTAGGACTCCACTACCTCCAAAAAAAAATTTAAGTAAAAGAAAATAGCAATAAACGGCAAATGTTAGCGGCAAATGAAAAATACAAAAGATAAAAAGTTATTATATTTCCTATGTCATGAAAACACACTGGTAATGTGCTATACAAACTATATATATTTGGAGAAGTTCCTGCGAGGATTTTTTTTGTTTTTTTTTGCCTTATACAGTAAAAAACCCTACATTCTTTCCAATGATAACTCGAAGACAGAGAATGAGGTGAAGGCCTTGGTTGTACCACCTCCTTCCTTGCTCTTGGTTCTGGTTCTCTGGTTCTTCATTTCGAGATGGGCTATCCCATTCTCTGTTTGTTGACGGCTTTCTTATGGATGCTTGTACGAGATCAATTTCGGTATTGTTGGTGAATTCGGATTGACTATGTTTTCGTGGCGGTTTTTTCCTTGTTTTTATTTAAGTCTTTTGTGGCCGACCTGCTTTTTGTGCATTTTTTGCCTTGTGGGCTTTACGCCTTTTAGTTCTCGTTCGGTCGGGATCTTGACCTTCATGCTATGCCTGTGCTTGGGTTTTAGTTAGATCAGGTACTGCGTTTCGTTTATATTGCGTTCTCTTGCAGGTGCTCCTTGATCGGCCCCCTTGTACTGTTCCTTGCCCTTTTGTGGGGTTTTCAATGAATTACTACTTCCACACACACAAAAATAATAAATAAATAAAAAAAGAGGTGAAGGCAACAGTAGCCAAATTAAAATAGAGAGGCGAACTGGGGAATTATATTGCAGCTTATTGGTGTGGTATGAAACCTAGGATGTTGAGTTGGCCATGTTCAATTGTCAACTTATATATCTAATCTGTCCAAAGTCCTAGTGCTCAAAGAATCTCAAATATATCATTCCATGTTTTACAAATAAACAAATTATATATATTCATATTCTAATTGATTTTATAACAAGTTGGTATACGTCTAGCCGCACAGACCTTCAGGGGGAGGTCACTGTTCTTCATCATCCCCTCTCCTTTCTTCCTCATCTCCTCTCTGCTTTCACGACGCACAAATCCCCCTCCTCTCTCCTCTCTTCCTTACCTGTCCATCCCCTTCTCCTTCTCCTTTTTTTTTTTTTTTTTTTTTTTTTTGATCTAGGATTTGAGCTTTTGATTTGCTTGGGGACGATGTAGCTGCCTTTGTTGTGGTTTGTTAGGTTATTTTGCAGATCTTGTGTATTTTAATTTTTGTTTATAATAAGTGCATCAACTCTTTTTGAGTTTGTTGTGTGTTCGTAGTCTCTACTTGTAACTTTTTACTTGTGAGAGTTTAAAGATTGTAATTTGCGATTGTAGTTATGTAGGTCGATCTATGCTTCACTTTTGGAAGCTTGCGCACTTTTATGTCGGAATTCCTTTTGGACATTTATGGTTATGTGTGAAGGTACACTTGTGCCCCTAATGTTGTCGGTGGAGTCCTTGTATTTGAATTAACCCTCTGTGATTACTGAGCTTCAGTATTTGTAATAATCATGTGTAGTTATCTGTATTTATACTAACTCTGGTAATTGGCGACCTTTATGCTTGAATTATAAATGCAATCTAACATCTTTATCTATTTAAAAAAACAACAAGAAAAAGTTGGTATACAAAAAACAATTAGAATAGTTCATTCCATCTTATTTCACAACATTAATTGATCAAGAACACCAAACTGTTACACCACATGATTTAAAAATAGAAATAAACTTTTTTACACTTGGAAACTTATAACACACAAAATTAACCAAAGAAAATTACTGTAAGGTAGCAAATTTTATATATTATATGCCGAAGCTAGTAAATCAAAGTTTTCACCCCCGATTTCTTCAAACTGTGGTTGGGTGAAACATATTTGAGAAACTCCTCATCAGCTTCAAATTTTTCCATGTCTTCCTCCCTCAAATTCACCCACGCCTCCACCCCATCGCCGCTTGGAGTGTCAAAGAAACTCACCAGGTTTCTATACGTCAAACTGGCTGACCCCATATAAACAGCCTTCCCCCATCCAAAATCAGCGTCGTACATCGGGAACCTGCACAGGCTCGTGAAGCTAAACGGGACCAACTCCCCGCGTTTCACTTGCGATATGCGCTCTTTCAATAAACTCAAGTGCTGGTGCCCATCTTTCAGTTTCTTTACATACTCCGTGTTGACTTGCTTGAGCCCCTCTCTGACGTGGCTCACTATGGCTTGTAGTGTTGAGTCGGACACAGACCGGTCTTTGGGGCCCACGGCCACGGGTGGGCACGCTTGTGACATTCGGCTCAAATTCCCGAAAGTATACTCCGGAAGTGGTGGATCCATTCTCGTCCGCAAGTTCACCGCATGAGACACGATGTATGTCTTCGGGACATCATCAGAGCTGTCGATTTGCTTCGGGTTGTTGCAGGATGCTGTGTATCGGCTCAATATGAAGGCCGATAAGGCCTCCACACGGGTAGGACGCCGAGCGTGTTCGTTCTGGGCGCCCGTGCATTTCGCCCTGAGTGTCGAAATTGCTGGTGCCTCGAACACAAAACGTTTCGTGGAAATGTTGTCTTTGACCATCCCATTAGTGGGGTGGTAAAACCCGGACAAGTCCATTTGCGGGAAGTACTTGTCGGACACAAAATCGGGTGCGGGCACGGCGTCGACCTCGCCCCGCGTGGCTGCTGCGAGGCTGTTGAGAAAACTGAAATAAGCCAAGGCGTCTCCGGCCTTGTGGGACATGCCCATGGCGATACTCATACCGCCGCACACAAACGACGTGACCTGTAGGCACACGCCCAGTTCATGTGCGGAGTCAAGTTCGCATGGGAGGAACCTGTTGAAGTCGTTAGGGATAGGGTTTGTGATTACGTCGGCGAGTGTGACATTGGCTTTGGCTTCGGCGTAGAGGGCACCCTCGTCGTTGCAGTCGATGTATTGGTTTTCCCTGACGCGTCCTGCTAAGGGGTAGAACTTGGT